ATATAGGACGCACCGCGAAGCGCCGCGCATACCTTTAATTTACACGCGGAACAACTCGCTCCCAGCGGCCGCGGGAAGCAAATTTGCCTGCATTTTTTCACTTAACATTTATTTCTAAAAATTTCGTTCTCTGCCTATCCTATTTCCCCACCCCCCAAAACTCTATAACTACCGTTTTTGCAGGACAAAATCCTGGGACTAGGGCTATATGAGTGTGCCTAAATAAGCTACTCTTGCTGTTTAAATTTTTAAGCATTCTTTCCATGGTAGAAATTAAAAAAAGAGTAGAAACCAGGTTTTATTGAATTTACAAGATTTCGCGAAGGAGTTTTAACTGCATCCCGTCGTCGCATGAGTCAGCTAACGAATTGAAGAATGCAGCAGTTCGAAATTTCACAAAATGCCAATGCATCACAACAGGAGTCATGGTTCACTTTAACTAATGATCAGGTGAAAGGCACTACATGGAATCAGCATATAGGAAGGAAGGGCATGAAGGGAAGTTAACGCTAATCATGTTGGGGATTACCCTACGTTACCGTGATCTGAGGATGTAATAGGGATAATGGTATTATACAAGTTAAGTAATGCTTGACACATTTTTATTGTGCTGGCTGATGCGAAATTATACAATGCAGAAAAATAATTGACGCTTTTTCGGCGTTTGTGCTTTTCCAAAATAAGCATACTTTTATATACTATTTTAATAATGTCTGGTTGCATTGCAAAAAGGGAACTGAGGTTTATACTGGATCGTAAACATGGCCGCCAGGCAAACCTTTTTTAAATTTTAAATTTGTGCCTGTCTTTGTCGACGTTTGCTGGGCGACATTTCTTATTTAATCTAAATTGTTACAATGTACTGATTTATGCTTATTTATTCCTGCAATATCATGAAACCGACACATAAGCATACCTTAGTTTGGTGTTCAGCCAGCTCTGGAGGGAACCGTTCCAGGGACTCGTTTGCACCTACTCGTCTGGACATTTCCAGTTGACGACGGAGGGGATGTGAGCGGCCGAGGTAGATGACTGTTGTACACGACTGTTCACTACTTGAAGTATACTCAATATCCGAATGACTGGCGTGTGCTGCGTCTTCTAGACCCTGAGACTGATGTCTGCCCCGG